TGTTTTACCGACAATTCTGAGAGTGGCGTTGAGGAAAGTGATTCAGAAATGGATTTCGAGGAAGACCCATCATCTTGGTCGGCAACCTGGGGACCACCACACCAGCATGGCAAGAGGAGTGTGAATAATTATTCAGGTGGAGCTGTGGGCAAACTGTGGCAAACAGTTATAGCATCTGTCGTCGAACCTGGAAATGGACAAATAAACTATTTTTCCATCTCCTGGATCTGAACAGTTACATCCTGTTGTCACACAGAGAATTTCGTCTCGCTCTTGAGCGGAACATGCTGGAAGGGGTCCACCTCGCCATCAGTGGCCCAGGGGTCGAACCCCTGCCGTTTTATCGGAGTTATCTCGATTATAGGAGGCCAAACCACATCACTGGCTGACTTCCTCTACTTTGCAATTGAGGTGTCGTGTGTGCTTTCGCGTGGGAAACGAAGAACCGTCTAGACAAAGTGCGTGAAGTGCGACGTCGGACCCTGGATTTCCGGATGTTTCCAAGATTTCCACACGAAGCCAACTTCCATTAGACGACGCAGGTGGAAAGAGAGACAACTTATAAAGCTGGTGACCAAAAATCATGTAAGTAGAAAAAAATTTGTAACTTAAAATTAGATTTTAAAAAGCCGGCCGCACGCGTGGAATCAGCGATGACATATGGCGTCATTCGTCCCCTTGACTATATTTTCATGATGCCATATGGTGTCGCTCGGCTCTTAAAGGTTAACTTCATTGGTACTTATTCTCTTTTGCGATGCTGTGTCTCATTTATTTAGTTATTTATTGTTCTTCTGGCAATGCTGTAGTAGCACAGACTATATGATACTGAATGATAGGACAATTAGTGAGTGATGAGGTGGAAAGACTGTGGAAGGAAATGGCTGTGGTCTAATTTGAGATACTGTCCCATTATTTACTTGAAGGAATTGATTAAAACAATGAAAGAGGCAGGATAATTATATCCTAGCTAAGATCTGAACAGGGAACCTCCAAAATAAATCTCAGAAACATTAATAATTGAGCCAACTCACTTGGTGATAATGTAACAGTTGCAGAGTTTATGTAAATGAAGAGGAAATGGCTACGTTCTATTTTCAGGTTTCTCTGGATATTCATAGAGAAGTGCGAAGGAAAAAATAATATCATATTCAGGATAATCAATTGTTAATTGCATTACATTACACTTGATTTTATAAAATTTATCCCCAAGTCAAATGGCAAACCTAACAGTTTTTTATGGTCCAGAAGCATAATTTTAGATTTGAATTGCATTAGGAATTTCTAATACCTGACATTATCAATGTTTGATACTAGAGATGGTTGTAAGGTTTGATACTGCATTTCAAAAAAGAAAATACAAATAAGGTATTTCACAATATTTCTTCCTAAAAATTTATGTGATAAAGACAGATACTACACAACACTTGGCTTGAAATAAAATCTACTTGCATTGCAGCTGTCTAAGGCAATAAGAGCAGTGTTAATATAGGATGAGTAAAGAGTAGAAAAGAAGAAAAATACAAACATTATTTGTGCTATAGGCAGGTTCTGAACTCACAATCCCTGAATATGCTTGGACTATGACTCCCACGCTTTAAAATGTGCAACTGCTTGAATTAGCATACAAAATACAAAGATGAGTTTCTACAATAGATATTACCAGTAAGTTTAACACTTTACCGAGAGGAAAGCGTGAATGAGGTCTGCTTTTACTGTTGCTAGAGGCTTTCCTTTCACTAAAATTGTGAAAGTCTCATCTTTCTCTGTTGTCATGAGGCTACCAAACCAAGACTTTTTGGTCAGCTCAGGTGAAGACTCAGGTGTGAGGTGTACTTCTTCTGATGAAGCTATAAAGAAAAGCGCAAATTTCAATACACACTTGCAAAAATCCAGAATTTCCAGTGTCTAGAACCAGTAACAATAAAAGGTCCAAAAAATGTAGAAATAATATTTTATGAATTTCTTTCACTCTTATGTAGCTTCCTAGACCAAAATTCTATAAACAATTAGAACAAAACTTTCATTTTAATGTCCTGTCATATGCTGAAAATAGAATCTAGTAATATACTAATGGTGATATAACTACATATCACAATCTGATGATGACACATCCTCAAGGATGCTTTAGACACAGTACAAGATTATTTCCTTTCCGTGGACTACCAACCACCTTATTGTGATGGGGAGGTTTGTGTGCCACTGTTACCTGAAGAGTTTTGATAGTGGGAATTTAAGCTCATAAGAGAGTCACCTGTTCTAAACAGGTGAAAGGGAGGGGCCATACATAAAGTAGCTCTGTTAATCCAGGTTGTAGCTTGGTTGTGAAGCAAATGTCTTCTCAGCTTGTAAAATAAGGTACCTCAAGAAACTAACAACAGATTCCAGAAGAGAGATGAATGGGCATTTGCCGTAAAGAAAGCCAAGGTTCTCAGAGGGCCATAGAGCCAAGAAATATGTCAGTAAGTGCAGAGAATATCTAATATTAGATTGTGTCTGGTGCTTCTGTATATATGTGACATGAATAATCAGACAATATTCCAAAGGCACATTATATGTATTTTAGAATAATAATTAGTGACGGAAATTTTTGAGGAAAAGTAGTTGCTGAATTATTTAAGTGATGGAGAAAGGTATACTCATGACTGATTTCCAAAGTGAAAATTATCTGGAAAATGAGCAAAGTCTGGAGCATCAACTAACTTCATATAATTTTCACATAGTTAAAACATGTAAATGTCAGAATAAAAATATGTGACTGACTTTGTAGTTTTCTCCTGTGAAAGCGTGGGGAGCCAAGGAAGCTGTTCTTAATTGTTGTCAGTCGTGATCTCCAGTGGTGTCCTGTTGTACTAGTGTGGGGAGAGCCTGGGGGTGTACAAGGTGCAATGTTACTTGTACTTAGACCTGAAACAAATAAAAAGTCTTTGCCAAAAAAAAAGCAACAGCAAATGAGTTGCAGAAAGCATATTTCTCTTTTAATAACTTATCTAAATTGATGAAATTTTACTCATTTAGAGTGTGATCATTCAGAATAATACTGTGTATATCTATTAAGTAATAAACTAAACATGCATCCTTTGCAATTTTAGTTTCATTAAGTATGACATATAATTTTAGATACAAATTTTTAGGCAACATGCAACAAACTGTTTGTTCTCTGTTTCAGTATGAAAAACTGCTCTGCAAAAATAAATTCAGAACTTCATGCAATGTTCTGAAACTGCCATAGTGGACTTGAAACTGCAATAATCACTTTCAAGAAATCATATAACCATTATTTATTTTTTGATCAGTATGACAATAAGAAAACATTTTACTCTTCTTCAATCAGTGAATTGATGCAGCCATCATTACAATGTATTCTAAGCGGTATTCTAGTTGGAGCCAGCATAGCGCAGTCGGTATAGCGACTGGTTATAGGCTGGATGGCCAAGTGGTCGGAGTTTGAATTCCAGTAGGGTCATGAATTTTCTCTTCCCCACATCATTTAGGCTGGCTCTGTGGTCCACCCAACCTCCTATCCAATGGGTATCAGGGACTCTTTCCCTGGGGGTAAAGCGGCCAAGACATGAAGCTGACCACTCACCTACGGCTAGTGCCAGGGTAAAGAAAATGTGGATTTATACATCCACTCCCCATACACTTCCATGGCGTAGTGCTCAATTAATTAAGCACAGGGACAACTTTACATTTACCTTTACCTTTACCTTTAATGGCATCCTAACCACCTGTTGTAACCTCCAACATAATAAATTCTGTTACTTTTTTCCTAGATCTCTGGACCCAGCTCACGCCTCCTTTGATTAAATAAAGATTAAAGAAGGAATTCACCCTTCCCTGCACCATGCAGCATGAGTCCCAGTGGATACAATGATCCCAATGATATATGAACTTGAAAAAATAAATATCCTTGATGCAAAGCTCTGCATTTTGAAATGTATTTCGAACATCAAAGGTTTGAACCAATGAATGATGAAAGCAGAGAAAAGCCATCTAGACTAAATAAAATATCGAAACAACTGCTCCAAGGATCATCTTTCTGCCACAAATGCTTTTCTGGTATTTCACCTTTAGAGATATTGAGGAAAGGCAACTCATAGGCATCTGGAATTCTCATGCAACTAACAAAAATTGTAAGGAAAATATACTCTTTTTATAAAGTTACTTAACAAAAATCGCAATGCACACATATACAAGCACCATTCAGTAGTTCTTCATCTGCCATTACAGTTACAGTGAACCATGATTACAATACGGGTAACCTAATCGGTGATCAACAGGCTTTCGCGGGAATGTGCCTAGCAATTGCTCTAATACATCACGATATATTCATCCTCTGTAGCTTGTACTTAGACATCCTGCCCATCTTGTGAGTATGGTGTCAACAAATTAATCAAATATGACAGGAGGTTTGCCCACATTTCTTTTGAGAACCAAGTGAAGTCTGAATAGGAGGAAGGAAGACAATGCAACATTTCAGCTGGTTGCAATATACCAGCATACATGGCACATACAGGAAGACAGTAACTTTTAAAGTCACAGTTGTGAGAGCTTCAAAACCCTCATGTTTCAAGATTATGCCAGTGTATAAAGACGACCTTCAACAGACAAGTCCGAAGAAACACGTGGTAATATACTATAACAAAAGTCTGTAACCTTCTATAGTGGAACAAAAGATTTTTCCCTCTGTGTCTGCCACTACTTGCAAACAGAGAATGTGACAAAACAATCTTTGACACTGAATAAAAAAGCTTTCATTTTGACAGCATCACTATAAAATATATCTCTTTTGGGGGTGTCATCATACTTGTGGTCCATGTGGAAGTACGTTCAAGGCACTGTACACAGCTGGTGCTATTAACAGTAAAGACACTACTCAATTAACACAAGGTAACTATCCAGTATCATTTCAAATTAACAGTAAGTTCTGAACATGTTAGGCTTCTGAAATCTGTAAATAAATAGGAATCACACAGGACTGCATATATACAGTGTCCCCTATTATAGTACTACCTCAGAAAAACAAGAGAAGAAAATGACTTGAAACTTTTCTCTAAGTTCTAATTCTTTCACATTTCAAAGCCATTTAATTTATAAAAGAAATACCTGTGGAAGTATCGTTGCTATCAATGGTAGTTCCTCCACTACTATTAGCTCGTTGGTGGTGAGGTGAAGGTGGAGCCAATGCTGTATGAGCATTGCTGGAACCATGCGCTGGCCGATGGTGGTGGTGGTGGTGATGATGTGATGCTGCACGCTGACTCACTGGTGATAGGATACCTGTATCATAAATATCACATACAGGACACAAAATATATAAATTAAATAGACTGATGCTGCTCTCTCTCTCTCTCTCCCTCCCTCCCTCCCTCCCTCCTCATCAAAAGAAATAATAAGTGGGACGACACAAACGAGCTTGGTTTATGAATCCCAATAGAATCTTAACAAACTATAAATATATTAAAGTATTGGAACAGCCGCTGTAGTTGTAAAGACTTTAGATTTTACAGCTGGTTATATATTGTTTATATCGTATGCATATATTTTAACTTTTAGAACATGTACTCTAATAGTGGCTTCTAACTGTACTGATGTAAAAGTTGTCCCTCTGAAGACTGAAACATGTAAGGACATGAATAATTGAAATAAGAAAATCATAACCAGTCACACTGAACGGAACTATCTAACTTTTTCAGAATTTAAGGCCTTTACATAAACATTGCTAGTGCTGCTGCCACCATGGTAGTACTAATGGTTGCATAGAATTTAACAGTGCTCTGATGGGTAGCCTGTATTGGTAGGATATTTTTCCAGGTTTTATAAGGATTGACATTTGAGAAGGTATTAAACTTTTCAGACCCTGATTGTATAATTGAGTTGGTGAGGACACTGAAGAGAAAGAAATTAAAGGAATTTTCATAGCAATCACTTGGAAGACTTAGGAATAGACATGAAAAATCTCAATTAGAATAGGTGGTGTTAGACTCGTTTAACTCTCCGATATAAATCACATGCACCACTACTCTAACCTGCTTGCTACTTACAACTAATGGTAATATGTTACTTTTGATTATGTATTCCTAGTTTTTGTGTGATAATTTACATTGCCTGTTCTTAAAACATATTTTCTTTGACTCTTACAATTCATTAATAAAATTAATTTTCCAAAATACTGGTTTGAATTTTTTGTCTGAAACTGTTAGGCTTTAGGCTTTACTCAAAGACTTTCAATTAGTGTCTAAATATTCTAACATTTTACCAGCAAGTGTAGCTGAAGCAGCATTGTTGAAAGTGGTGTGTAGAGGACTTGAAGTGGCAGAGGAGTTCTGTAAGTTGCTAGGGTGGCTACCACTACTGCCTCCACTTCCAGGTGACCGTCGGTTGTGATGTCTTGTAGCACCACTGTTATAAAAAAGTAAATCAGCTATGTTTGGAGACTAAACCCATGCTTTCACTTTTTAAATACTGAGCATTTTGTATGTTACACTTAGGCACACCTAACATTCTAGAAATGTGCTCATTTTGATATTTAATGATCCAAAATATAGTGTAAGAAGGGGCATTTAAACTGACTGGTTTGAAAGTATCAGGTACTAACTAACTAATTAACTAAATGGAGTAGATTCCTTCTTTGGAAACCAATAGTAACTTAGCTTGTCAAGAAATTCCCAGCTTTATATGAAACGCAAAGTTCATTATCATTTGCAGTCCATATCCATCCATTGTATTTCTACAAGATCCACTATAATTTTCCCCCATAATCTATATCTAGAATTTCAAAGTGGTCTCTTTCTCTCATATATTCCTACCAAAAATCTGTTATGTATTTCTTTCCTCTCCCATTTAGTTCTGGGTGTGTGGGTGTAAAGTATGCAAAAATATATAGTAAATGGAATCTTGAAGAAAAGAAACAAAAACACTCTTCTCATTAAGAAGTTTCCACTGCTTGTTACTTTCTGTCAGACTTCTTGTCCTGAAAATACTTGCAAGAAATGTACAAAAAGCCAAACCTTATTCTCATAACTTCATTTATGGAGGCACCAATAGTAAGTCTCTCACAAGTTCTGCTTATGATTTTTTAATGTAATAATATCTTTCAAGATTACTTTAAAATGACTTCTCTTCATTGTTCATGTTCCATCATGGGGGGGGGGGCAGAGGACCAAAAAGGATAGAAGGTTCTGCTGATTAGGAATGCAAAAGGATCCTGCAGTCAGAATAGCTTGGGAAACACTGATCTAGATATAAACGTTGAAAACTATGTGTAGGAATATATCACAGAACCAAAATCCATGACAGTCATAATACACTGCTCAAGAATATGTTAAACTGAAGATTTCATGATGAAAATAAGAAAATATTCAAGAAATTTCAAAGTATATCTTCTGTTTAAAATCTATTACTGTTTCATTTACTCTCCAGAAGAGTATAACAAAGAAGATTTTCAGACAAATGCGGATGTACACAGTGTTAACACAAGACACAAACACTGTTTTCTTAAACCAATTATTAACCTTTCATGCTTTCAGAAAAGGCCATATTATACTGGGATCAACATTTTTAATAACCTGTCATATGATCTCAAAGGTCTGATGAATGTAAAGGCATGATTTAAAATAGCACTGAAACAATACTTAAATACACATTCATTCTACTCTGCTGATGAATACCTATTGTCTAGAAAATAACTTATGTATCTTTAAATAGCCTTGTGTGTAGTCACTGTGTATTCTTGGTTTCTCTTGTGTGAGAACTCCATTGGGTATGTACATAAGTTTTGTATTTATATGACATATATCACATCCTACAGTCCTTTTGACTAACTTTGGATCCATGGAATGTAATGTAATGTAATGTAAATTGCACTGCCAACCCCATCTCAGTTTTTCAATTGGGAACATTTTGATACTAAGGTTAATTATCCAAGTGGGACATAGTCCAACTATTACTCTCAAAAAAGCAACTTAGTCCGATTCTTGAATTTAAGAAAGCAGCTCATTACACACCTACAAAGCAAGACAGGAAGGACCCCTGCAGCTTCTTCCTAGCAATTCTACTCAAAATATGCTGGTTTGAATTCTTTGGGAACATGATATCTGACAGTTTCCAAACATTGTACATCAAAGGTAGGAGGGCCTAGAGCCCATGCTACTGCTAGAATTTATCAAACAACTGTCAAAAGTTATGTTAGGTCATTAGAGTTCAAAATCCCTTGAAATTTGCAATGGGTTGGAGGAACAGCAAATGAGGTAAACTCCTCTTGTTCAAATTTGACCAATCCTCGAAACTTAAGGAAGTGACTTGTGGGCCAATACAAAGTGGTAAGGACTTCTCGTTTTGAGAGAAGTCAGTCTGTCAAGTTAGTTGTATTCGAGCTCACAGATTTCCCAGACACAAAATCTGTACCTCCACAAGTTTGACTACAAATTCTAAGTTCCGGTGTAAGTAATTATAGAAACTGTGAGTGAAGCTACCTACTGACTAGCAATTCAGCCTGAAGTGAAATTTAGTATCTCCAAAATCTATTTGGAAGCTTAAGTAAGCCATTTAAGTACTCTGACAAAAATCAGTGTGATTCCTGACTAAAAAAAGAAGCAAGTATAATCTAGTTGACTGATGGTGTTCACCAGTGACAATCGTCACAATAAAATGGCTCTGTGAATAAGTGTTGTGTATGTAGTATCAAGAGTTCCCCTTCCCCCGTCCGAGTGAGACCCTCCCAAATACTCTGAGATGGAATCTTATCTCTAACAACTTGAACTAGTGGCCCACCACCAGCATCCCTTTATCAATCCTCCCCCCATCCTCTTTGCCAATATTGTAAACAATTTCAAATAAGTTAGCTGGCGCCCAACCAGCGACTAATTAACCCAACATGAAGAAGAGGAGGTGGTAAGGAGGGTCGGTGAGCAAAGTTAGGCAGGCTGTAGCCACCACCCACAAGCAGCAGCAACACACGGGAAGGTGAAAAGGATGATGAGAATACTTAATCAAAAACATGGTAAAAATTCCCAGCAATGAGAAAACAAGAATACTGATTGCTGTTTTGACTACAATCACACTAAATCAAGCATGAGTTCTCAAAGATAAAATATCTCTTACTCTGAATGCCAGTTATATACTTAAAAACTCACTAAATACAGCAAAATAATACACTGTTTATTTGGACTTAAGATGCAACCAGAAAAAATATTCATTAAACGTTGGATTTTACCAAATGCAAATATACTAAATCAAAATTTCAGTCTCTTTTACATATTCCTTTTCATATGATAATAGATCATGTTTTCTTACTCCATGAGAAAAGATACAAAAACAAACAAAAAACAAAACTCTGTGATTTTAGTCCACAAGCGAACTATACCAACCAAATGACTGCCGCTTGTTGGTGAAGTTAGTGCCAAGAATAGATACAAGAAATGCAAAAAAAAAAAAAAAAAATTGAAGGAAATTTTGAGGCTGAAGGAAGATAAACTGTGTGGAGAATGGAAAAACTTGCATGAGGAAGTTGATTCAATAGCTACAGGTTTTCCTTCTACTTCTAAAACCCAATAACCCTGGCCTTCCTCATTATCTCTAATGACATTAACAGCAATAACATTTGGACACATGTGAAGCTTCAACATACAAGGGGGTACCCAAAAGAAACCGAAATTATTTTTTTTTAACTTATTTATTCAAATTTTAAGCACAAACCTTCAATCCCCTTCAAAGTACTCTCCACTTACACTAATACACTTGTCTAGTCTTTTATTTCATTTTTCAAAACATTGTCTAAATTCATCTTTTCAGATGCTTGACAGCACCTCCATCATTTTTTCCTTCACCTCAGCAACATCAGCAAAACACTTTCCTTTCATGTCTCTTTTCATTCGAGGAAACAAAAAAAAGTCGCACGGGGCAAGTTCAGGTGAGTATGGAGGGTGAGGAACAGGGGTCATACCATTTTTGGTCAAGAATTGTCATGCAGACAGGGCTGTGTGAGCAGGGGCATTGTCATGATGGAAAAACCAGTCACCCGACTGCCACAAATCTGGCCGCTTCC